CTTATCAATCTAACAAAATTTCTTACTGACAAGCGTATCACCAACACTGTGGTTTATCTACTGGGTATAAAAGAATTGCGAAGAGTGGAAGCAGAGAATCAAAAATTACCAAAAAATCAAAATTTATACGTTGTCGAGTATCGGTTAGAGACACCACTATCTCTGTGTTTTCTGCTGTGACGACTATTGTGTATATGCTTAACCTCTTGCAATTTATCTGCCTTTTATAATTCAAATTCTTGATAAGTATATATTGTAAATTTTCTATTACTTTCTACGTGATTCTGCGACATATTTTGGATTCCTACTGTATAGAAATAAGGATGGCTTTTCTTGGCTCTACTTATTAAACCGCTCACAGTATATTGCTGTAACAAAAAGTAAAGAGGAAAAATTCTTCTATTTCTGTTAATAAATTGTGTCGTTGTAACGAATGTTGAAAGCGGAAGAAAATGAGTACATCTCAAAGTTCGGTAATTAAACCTTTATTACAAAAAGAGCACTTCTGACTGTGAAATTACTAGTAAATGAAATATAGTAATAAGCATAACAAAATAACGATCGACAATTGGTTAAGTCAAAATTAAAAAAATTAAATGATTGAAACTAAGGAAATGGAAATTAGCTAGTCAACCTCATGGGATAGTACATCGCTGTACAGCGGTTCCTTTCTCCTTGTCGATCTGCTAGAACGATCAGCCTTCAATAATATGCAAATGCTTGGTTGTTTAAATGGTGGCTTTTCCGGCAACCTTTCGCTAATCAGTTTTCATGTGGCCTTCTAAGTGTAGCTTTCCGGGTTAGTCGCGACAGTAGTTGTTAGAAATTGATAAGACATAAATGATAAATGTGGTATAAGTGATTAATGAGACCTTTCTAATGATCTTCTAATGTATAAAGATAGAGTATAATAATACAAGGGTTAAAGTAAGTTATTATACTGTTAGATCTGATCAGACGAGACGTTTTTCCCCGGTGAAACACCGCTGGTAAATGAATATTCATGAAGCCTTAATTTCGACATTTGTTCGACATATTCCTTATTCGCATTTTAAAACTTTAAAAGTTTTTGGTTCAGTGGTTCTACCTGTCAACAAGTTGGCAAATTCTGAAAATGCAGAGTTTGTGTCTATAATGATGACTGTTGTTTCAGCTTAAAGAAAGTGAAAGATAACATTACAATGATCTTAATTTTACTGCTTTTTATTGCTTTGTTCTGACGTTAATAGTCACTTTGGACTGTAATAGTTTTAACTTAAAGCTGTCTACCTCCCAGATACATTATTCCACTAATTTTGTTATATATTTGTTCTGTTTATTACATCACTTCTTTCCAAGTCTGTGTCAAATGATAACCATGTAGAGTTTTGCTCTGTTCTCTTTTTCTCAGTTTTTACTGGAGATAAAAAGATGCTCACTGCGCAGTTTTCTTTCCCTCGCCATCTGCTTCACTTTACAGTTTATTTATTTAAAATACAAAAATGTTTACTCCTTTAACTTGAAAAATTGATAACAAATCCCGTCATTTTAAAACATATCTTGTTTAATTAACAGATAATAATTTAGTATTTATTCGACAAATACCTGGAAGAAACGTTTACTGCTACAACGGAAGATATTACAGATTACTGTCTTAAAATCTGTTTTTTAAATTAAAATTTGGACACCACTGTCAACTTTCAATTTTCCACTTGTTGACTAACTTAACACTGTCTTTTGAAGAGCCAGTATCATAAAAGCTGAAAAAACTTGATAAAATAGAACAGATAGCACAAAAGTCACTGAGAATCACCAATTTAGTTGCTCCTTAGCTCTTCAAACATAACGAAAGGGTTGGCAGGTACCGGACACGATATTAAAAACAACCTGACACACAAAAACTTTGTTTTGTAGTCTCATAAACAAAGCTGTCGCTCACGAGGCCACTAAAGAAAAGCTGGACAGCATTTTCCTGTATAGTTTAATTACCCACTGAGCTTTTTTCACACTATGTTTAAACAAATGGAGAAGTGGGTGAAAGATAATATAAGGGTTAAAACTTTCTACTGTAAAGCGCTGCTGAGTTGTAAGCATCATCGAATTTGGACTTCTGTTCTGACTGCGTACAGTACGTGTTACTGCACGTTACTGCATGGCAATCCTCTCAAGTAAACGTGAGTGACCTTCACGGAAAAATTATAAGATTTAATACTACATTTGTCGAACACGTTCTAACCTGTACAGCATTTCATTTTTTTATAGCATTTATTTCCAAAATTAGACTTTCAGAGAATAAAGTAGAAAAATTAAAGACTGCTGAATAAACAAAGTCAGAACGACAAAACTGAACAAAAACAGATGTGACAATACTTAAAACAATCGACGAATTCACAATTTAAGAAGGTTTATTCTTAAAGAGATGAGGACAAAAAAACGTTGCTCTGTTTTTGTCTTCACCATTACACCGGACCACTCGTTAGTTGCACTATTCCTTATTGTTACGCAACAGTCTTTCATGTACGTTCTCTGATTACGTACTCGACTCACCGTCTTACACATCGTCATAGAGTGCTACACTTCTAAGTACGACCTCTCATTGCCAAGGTCTTTAATAAAAACATAAGAACAGACCAGCAGTTGTGTGAGTAAACGTTTCAGGAACTTGACGGTAGAAGCTGATTCACTAAAAAAGCAAAACAGGCATATAACATTTATAAACTTTTTTAGATGATGAAGGTGGTATTTCGTTTTTTGTTCCGTAACTTTCTATTAAAAAACAGTAATTATCCTGAATGCTTTTTACCTATTTTTTCTATTTTCTTTTTTAACTCTTTCATTTCTTTCTTGGCATCACCGTTCCAAGTGTCAGTTAAAGATTTCCACTGGTTCTCGTCGATTTGGTCAACTGGTAACTGAGAATGAAATTTACTATGATAACGTGCAAAAATTATACAGCAGCCTACTGTTTGAGATTATTAATATTAGAAGAAATGCCTTAGAAGGAAACCACTAAAAGACTGCAAGTTTAAAATATAACAGAACCTTGAAATCAGTAAGTTCTTTGAGAATTGCTTCAAATAACGGTCGTTTCATGGGGTCGCGTATAAAGCAGTTTTCCAGCAACCTTTTCAGTTTAATTGGTGAATTTTTTGGAACCGGTAGTTGGACCTCACTCCAAAATTCTTTTAATTATTATTTTTCAACAGAAGAAGACAGAATAAATCTTTCCTAGGTATTTATCAAAGAGAAAACAATTTAAGCTTTTTGAGATTAAACCTGTGGTAAACTCCGTGAAGAATCTCGTAATCGGTAAACTCTTCATAAGGTTTAACTCTTGTCAGAGTTTCCCAAATTACAACTCCAAAACTCCAAACATCCATCTAAAATAAGCAACATTTTCTTTCTTTAAATAAGTAGAGAATTAAAAAAATTCTGTTTCAACAAGGAAGAAAATAAGAGTTAGCAGAGACGCTCAAACATTAAACCCACCTGGAAACAGCTGTGATCTTTTCGAAACCTTTCAGGAGCCATGTAAGGATATGTGCCACGACCACTCATAGTTTTAGGTTTTGATTCTTTCCACTCTCGAGCTAAGTCAAAATCGCAGATCTTGATCAAATCACTGCTTGCAAAAAGTATACTGAAATTTCTGGTTTTACAGCTTAAGCAACATATTGTTTTAACAGTTGACATGAAGTAAACAGATTACTTTGCCGGCTTTAAATCGCGATGAATGATCTTTTTTGAATGCATGTAATTCATCCCGCTACAAATTTGCTTCGCCCAATTGTAAATATCTTGCTCCCTAATTACTGCTTTATTTTTGTGTATTCGATCACTCAGTGATCTATTCTCACAGTACTCCATTAGAACAAAGTAACCCGTTATTTGAAAGGAGACACCTCTGAAAATATTTTTTAGAGTGTCAAAAATTATTATAAAACTTACCGAAAACTGGTTTTACAAGAATTCTTAGTTTTCCTGAGAAGATAAAATGTAATTTTGGAAGTCTCGAAAGATTACAAAATACTTAGAAAATACAAATTTTTCTTCTCACTTTAAAAAGTAGAAGCACTTTGAAATACTTCATAAAAAACAGATACAGATGACTGACAAAAATCTAATTAAATTAGGGTGATCCAGGACGAGCAGGTGATAATTTTCTGTTTCTTCTTTCTTCGAGAACCTTTTCAGAGCAATAATCTTTTTATCAAGTGAGCCTTTGTAAACCGCTCCTTGGCCTCCTTCTCCAATCAGTTCTATGCTTCTAATTTCTTCGAATGGCACTTGACGTCTGCCTAGAGCGTATTTAGAATGTTTGGAATGTTCCATTGTTCTATATACTATGTTTAAAGTCATAAACAGCCAATCCACACCAAATCTGTGTCACCGCAACCAGATATTTTCTTATTTCTTGCAATAAATTTACACAGTAATTATGAAATATAAAAAAGCAAGAAAAGATAAAGTTTTCTAGACAAAGCATAATTTTACACTATAGCGTCTGTTTAATAAACTTTTATATGACAAATATTTACGATTACGATTTTAAGACAAAATACTGTTGTTTTCAGTACGCAACAACTTTGTAACTTAGATTTCTTTACTACTTTCTAGACGCACACAGATTTCACAAAAGATTTTGTTTGTTACCAAATAAACCAAGAAAAATCATAAATTCTCCTGTACTTACCATTAAGAATCCGAAGAACATCTCCTCGAGCGACGTCAAAAGCGGTCTCCTTAAGCAGTTAAAAAGGTACTATAGAAACATTTTTCAATTTTAGCATTTTTTTCACAAGAATATTTTGAATTTTAAAGAGTTATACTTGTCATTAAACTTTTAAGCGTGCTTAAAAAAGAGGCCACTACGCTTCTGTAATGGTTTATCAATTTGGTAACTGCCTAAATCTTTAATTTTCTGAAGAAGTAAAAAATCATAAAAGACTTTGGTAATTCTACTGCTAGTGAAAAAAAACAGGAAGAAGAGCTATAGAATTTGCCAAAAGTTTATTAGGTGACTAGCCTTTATGTCGAATTTCAATCGTTAAAAACCATAAAAAGCTCTGCAAAAACTGTGGTAAAAAATTGTCGTCTTTTAATTTACCGATCACATCTGCCCGAAGTAACCACTGAACCTTCACACACTGTTCACCATCCACCATACCAGATTTTACAATTTTGGTGGTAATCAATCGGATTACAGACACTTTCAAATTTTTATAGAAATAGATTACCGTTTTCGAATTTTTTAGATTCAGATCAGCTTCGTTTTGTATCAAAATTTTCACAAATTCGACCTTTCCATCCTTAGCCGCATGATACAAAGGAGTATTCTGAAGAAAGAATATATACGCATAACTATCTGCCGAGTAACTTTTTCTATGTTATGACATTCTCAGTGAAACTTCTCAAAACTAAGAAAAGACAAATATTAATTTTTTTCTATTTCAGAACGCTCTGATAACTATAATGAAACTAATGCAAAACTAAGTTTTTTCTAGAATACTCTAACCTTCCACTATTTTTTGAGTAAACTTTATTTTACTTGAACTTTTCGCTTTCAACTTCCTTCTCTGCAGTGCAGAAGATATTATTCTTTATTGGACATAAGACTAAGAATAAACACATGAAGAATTTTAAAACGAAAACCGAAGCAGAAGAAAAATTTGCAAATAAAAAGGACAAAAGCAGAAACAAAAAAAGTAAAGATTGAAAGAAAAAATTTGGAGAAAACCGAAAAGCAGTCGTCAGCATTTACATACTGCTTTTCTTCTCTCTACTTTCAGATATCCGTCTTTGTCTTCCCATAGCTACTACAATATTTTTAATAATTTAGCCTTAGCGAATGGTTTCCAGATTAATCCTTAGTACCAAACTAAATCATTTTAAACAAAAATACCACAAAAACAAAAAAGTACAATAGAGTACGCAAAAAAAAAAAATCAAAAAACTACTAAATCCGAATTATTTCGCGCTTCAAACTGAAGAATTTCTTCATTTACTTAACAAATTATTTCTCTTCTAACATTTTCTGTGAATATTTCTTTCAGCACTTGCTTCAACAATTTCTTTACTCTTATTTCTTCGCAGATTGAACGATATAGCAATTAGACCCTGAGATTGCTATCCGATTTCCTTCAATAATTTCAATCTTTTGTTGTCATTAGAGTTCAGTCTCTTATTTTCGTAAAAGTGTAAATAAAAAGCCGCAATAATTTACAATTTATTACAATTCACTTTAAAAATTTTTAAATTTACAATAAATTTTTTTGAAACTAATTATCAAATGAACCTCTAAAACGTTCTGTTACATTAAAATTTCGACTGTTTTACTTTTTATTGCTTTAGATTTTTTCAAGCTTTTTGATTTCTTTTCAAAAAGAACATAAGTAGAAATGAGTAAAAAGGTGCAGCAAAGAAATATCCCAAAAAAACTGAAAAATCCTTATTTTCTGATAAAACAATTATTTTTTTAAAATTATTTACTTAATTAACCTTCTGTTTGTTTTTTTTTTTTTTTTTTTTTTTTTTTTTTT